AAATATTGACAATTTCCAAACAGCATTTGTGTGATAGACTTCCTCACATAGTGCCATAACACCTTTGACACCCAGTGTGTTTCCTACAAACCGGATTCCAAAAAAGTTGGGACACTAAACAAATTGTGAATAAAAAGTGAATGCAATGATGTGGAGGTGCCAACATCTAATATTTTATTCAGAATAGAACACAAATCACAGATCAAAAGTTTAAACTGAGAGAATGTATCATTTTAAGGGAAAAATCTGTTGTTTCCAAATTTCATGGCGTCAACAAATCCCAAAAAAGTTGGGACAAGTCCATTTTTCCCACTGTGTGGCATCCCCCCTTCTTCTTCCAACACTCAACAGACGTCTGGGGACAGAGGAGACCAGTTTCTCCAGTTTAGAAATAGGAATGCTCTCCCATTCATGTCTAATACAGGCCTCTAACTGTTCAATCGTCTTGGGCCTTCTTTGTCGCACCTTCCTCTTTATGATGCGCCAAATGTTCTCTATAGGTGAAAGATCTGGACTGCAGGCTGGCCATTTCAGTACCCGGATCCTTCTCCTACGTAGCCATGATGTTGTGATTGCTGCAGAATGTGGTCTGGCATTATCGTGTTGAAAAATGCAGGGTCTTCCCTGAAAGAGATGACGTCTAGATGGGAGCATATGTTGTTCTAGAACCTGAACATAGTTCTCTGCATTAATGGTGCCTTTCCAGACATGCAAGCTGCCCATGCCACAAGCGCTCATGCAACCCCATACCATCAGTGATGCAGGCTTCAGAATGGAGTGTTGATAGCAACTTCTATCCTTGCTATCCTTGTCCTCTCTGGTCCGGATGACATGGCGTCCCAGTGTTCCATAAAGAACTTCAAATCGTGACTCATCTGACCACAGAACAGTCTTCCATTTTGCCACACTCCATTTTAAATGACCCCTGGCCCAGTGCAAACGTCTGAGCTTGTGGAGCTTGCTTAGAAATGGCTTCCTCTTTGCACTGTAGAGTTTCAGCTGGCAACGGCAGATGGCACGGTGGATTGTGTTCACTGACAATGCTTTCTGGAAGTATTCCTGAGCCCATTCTGTTATTTCCTTGACAGTGGCATTCCTGTTTGAGGTGCAGTGACGTTTAAGGGCCCCGAGATCACGAGCATCCAGTAGAGTTTTACGGCCTTGACCCTTACGCACAGTGATTGTTCCAGATTCTCTGAATCTTTTGATGATGTTATGCACAGTTGATGATGATAACTTAAAAGTCTTTGTTATTTTACGCTGGGTAACACCATTCTGGTATTGTTGTACTATCTTTCTGCGCAACAATGGTGGAATTGGTGATCCTCTTACCATCTTGGCTTCTGAGAGACACTGACACTCTGAGAAGCTCTTTTTATACCCATTCATGTTGTCAATTGACATAATTAGTGTTGATTGGTCTTCCAGCTGTTCGTTATATGCTCAATTTCCTTTTTCCAACCACTTACTGCTACTTGTCCCAACTTTTTTGGGATTTGTTGACACTGTGAAATTTTGAATCAACATATTTTTCCTTTAAAATGTTACATTTACTCAGATTAAACTTTTGATCTGTCATCTATGTTATATTACGAATAAAATATTGACATTTGCCATCTCCACATCATTGCATTCAGTTTTTATTCACAATTTGTTTAGTGTCCCAACTTTTTTGGAATCCGGTTTGTAGATCTAAAAAGATAGTCTCACTTCTTCTGACCGTCTCTATACTTCATCAATACTTTCAAAACAAAAGTTACAACTGCAATGCACTTTCTAAGGATTAAACCATCCTGCTCACTGATTTGCACTGGGTCCTAACATTGAACAACTTCTTGCCCAAATCTTAACTTATCCTGAATCTCTCCACGCTTCACTTGTTCTTAAAAGTTTTGACACATCTTCACTCCTCAGGCATCCTCTCACTCCCTGGGATTGTATTACCCTTAGAAAGTTTTATCTGTGCATTTATATATTTGGTGTCAATAAACATCTGCCCTTATAACCCAATAGTTCTTTCTCCCCTCTGTTGAAATGTCTTGATGACATCAAGGCAAGGCTTCAAATTTTTTAAGTTTCAACGATCAGAAAACTGAAGTCATTGCGTTGTAGCTCTCCTGCTGTCTCTATTCCTGTTAACCTTGATTCTCTTGAGCCATATCTTAAGCAGTGTGTTAGAAATCTCAGGATGGTTTTGCCCTCTGACTTTAAGTTTAATAAACAGATAAAGCAGAAAAGTTAAGGCAGATAGATAAGCTTAAGTCAGTGTTGACCAGACCTGACCATGAAAAAATACTCCATGCCTTCATTACAACCTGACAAGACTACTGTAACATGCTCTGTGTTGGGGTCAGTCAGGTCTCCCTTTCACGTCTTCAGCTCATCCAAAATGCTGCAGCTTGGCTATTAACAGGAACTCGTAGGTTGGATCACATTTCACCAGTTCTGTCCTCGATTCAGTGGCTCCCTGTGGGTGTCAGAATAAATTTTAAAATTCACCTGTTGACCTGTAAGTGTCTAAATGGCCTTGCACCCTCATACCTCTCTGACCTACTTCAACTATATGTTCCTTCTCGGGCGCTGAGATCATCTGACCAGCTGCATTTGGTTGAAGCTCAGAGGAGATTGGGCTTTTCCAGTTGTGAGCTCTAAACTCTGGAACAATCTGCCCCCCAGCATTAGACAGGACACTTCCATTGATTTTATTGTTAAGCACTTTGGTAACAGCTGCTGTTTTTAAATGTGCTTTGACTTGACTAACACAACTGTGTCAGTCAAAATCCTAAATATCTTTTGAAAGATGTTTCAATTTTGTCAGATTAGTTCTAAAAACTCCTGTAAACTCCTATCTACTTTAATAGCCTTTAACAGTTGATAGTGGAAAAATCAATCCACTGAAAGAAGCATTTTGATGCCATATTTATCACATCATAAACTAATGCTTTTCTTTCAGTTCTGCTTTTTGTACCTCTTTCCCCTCGTTTTTTATTTTTATATTAGTCTATTAAGTTGATGCTGGGTGTGGTAGTAGGTGAAAGCAATTCCAAACACATACTTAAGGCAAACAAACATTTAAGATAGTCACTAAAGATAATATCAGGTCTCTCTTGTAAATGAGTCCCCAAGGCTCAATGGGATTAACCTGAAGAAATAAAGGTTGAATGAAAAAATACAAAAAAGGTACACTGCCTGGCCAAAATAAAGTCACCACCTGGATTTAACTAAGCAAATAGGTACGAGCCTCCTATTGGATAATTACTGCATGGGAGATTATGTTTCAGCTGGTAACAAGTTATTTAACCCCAACTGGTGCAATGAGTTGCTTCTCATTTCTTCAACAACCGTGTGGAAAGCCTCATGGCGTGGTCGTGGAAAAGATGTCGGTCTGTTTGAGAAGGGTCAAATCATTGGCATCAAGCAGAGAAAACATCTAAGGAGATTGTAGAAACTACTAAAGTTGGGTTAAGAACTGTCCAACACATTATTAAAAACTGGAATGATAGTGGGGACCCATCTCCTTTGAGGAAGAAATGTGGTCTACTGTACAAGCCTGTGGGGGCAGTGCTATGATCTGGGGTTGCTGCAGTTGGTCAGGTCTAGGTTCAGCAACAGTATGTGCTGAAAGAATGAGGTCCGCTGACTAACTGAATCTACTGAATGACCAGGTTATTCCATCAATGGATTTTTTTTTCTTCCCTGATGGCACGGGCATATTCCAAGATGACAGTGTCAGGATTCATCGGGCTCCAATTGTGAAAGAGTGGTTCTGGGAGCATGAGACATCATTTCAGCATGCATCAGGATAATGAGACATCATGTTCACACATGGACTGGCCACCAGAGTCCAGACCCATTGAGAAGCTTTGTGATGTGTTGGAGAAAGCTTTGCTCTGTGGTCAGAAACTGACATCATCATTGCAAGATCTTGGAGAAAAAATAATGCAACACTGGATGAAATAGATCATGTGACATTGCAGAAGCTTGTTGAAACAATGTCACAGTGAATGCATGCTGTAATCAAAGCTAAAGGCGCTCCAACAAAATATTAGTGTGTGACCTTTTATTTTGGTGGAGATTTTTTTTTACTAGGCTGTGTATAACTCATTTAAATCTACATATATAAGATATAATTCATTTAACTCACATTTTTGGACACGAGCAAAAATTTGATGTGGTACTAGCTGAAAGCAATTCCCATCACATAGTGAATGCTAATCAAAAATTCAAGATGGCCACCAAAGCTAACAAAAAAAAGCCATAACTCTTTCATTTTTAGACATAATGAGGTAAAATTTGGAGTGGCAGATGCTAAAATCAATTTCCAACACGCCCCTGAACAGTACACACTATGTTTATTACCAAAGCAGTTCTGTTCAGATGTTGTTTTAGTTTTGCTTTTTCAGCTTGTTTGGGCTAACTTTAAAAAAAAAAAAAAAAAAGTCTGCTAATTTTAGCTGCTTTCTACTCATTTTAGCTTTTTCTGCTGTGTTCAACTACTTTTCTGCTAATTTCAGCTTTTTTGTGCTCCTTTTAGCATCTTTCTTTTAAATTTACTTTGCTCTTTTTACATTTTTCTGAGTAATTTTCAGTTAAAGTATTTCAAGTACGCTTCAACTATAAACAACAAGGCTGCGAGAGTCGTGTCTCACAGGAGGAAACTGAAAGAACCTCCCTTGTGAACACAATGCAGCAACTGCACTCCAACAGTTCATGAGAAACCAGCTAAAATCAAATTTGGGTCAAACAGCTAAAGTTTCATATTACCAAGTGATCTGTCAGAGCTGCTGACATTAAATTGGAAAGATTATAGAAAGCATCCCTAAATTTGTCAGCGAGTCACTGTTTTGGTTTGGTTTTCACTTGATAATCATTTTTATATATTAAAGTAGCAGCAGTGGAGCTTAGAGTGGTAGAAGCTGGAGATGTTTATCATGATTAACAATTATCAGAATCACTTAAAGACATAAACAGACTCATTCGGTCTGACACAAGAAACTTACTTGGATCTTAATGGGCCACGTGAAATTGCTGACGTACACAAAGAAGGTTATGTTTGGGCTGTTGCGAAAATCAAAGTTTTCGTTTGAGAAGCTGTCTTTGAACTCCTTGATGTTGCTCCGGGAAACAATGGGAATTTCCTCTCCAGTCTGCGTGCCTGCTGAACACAAAAATTAACAGACACAATAAAAAGACAGAACAAAAATACCCAAGAATAGAACAGGGGAAACAACAGGTTGAAGAGAAAGATTTGGAGGGAGAAACACCAAACAAATGATAAATGGTAAAGACTTAACTGTACTTATTCAGCTCCTTTCTATCTCATCAAGATACTCAAAGCTCTTTACAACAATATGTGCTTCATTCACCCATTCATACAGCTCTCTATTAGAGCTATACAAAGAATAATCAGAGCTTTATCATATTCACACACTGATTGGACACATATCAGAGGCAATGAGGCGTTCAGTGTCTTGCCCAGGGACACTTCGGCATGTGACGGCTGGTGGAATCGAACCCCCAACTCTTGCATTGGAGGACGACTGCTCTAACCACTCAGCCACAGTCGCCCCAAATGTAGACATTTAATTCAATCTATGTTTTATATTTGATCATTTACTGAATTAATTTATCACAGTAGTTACCTCTCAGTATAATTTCAATCATGAGCAAACAGCACATCCAAAGCCTTGTAATAATTACATTACGTTATTGTAACGTAATAAACGTTACAGGTCTCTCTTGTAAATGAGACCTTGAGGCTCAGTGAGACTAACCAGTAGAAATAAAGGCTGAATGAATAATCTTATGTAAAATAGAACTCTGCAGGTAAATATAGTAACCGTAACTACAACCTCTTGAAACGGGCACTACCAAAATACATCATTAGGAGTTTTTTTGGTTAGAATTACATTAGGAGACACACCACAGCTATATTCTTTAGCAAACAAATACACTGCATGGCCAAAAAACCAGTTGCAACCAAAAACAAAAATACTCACTAATATTTGGTTGGACTGCCTTTAGCTTTGATTACAGCATGCATTCACTGTGTCACTGTTTCATTAAGCTTCTGCAATGTCACAAGATCTATTTCCATGCAGTGTTGCATTAATTTTTCACCAAGATCTTGCGCTGATGACTAGGCACTAGGCGTGATGGAGGCATCACTTCACCTGCCTCTCTTCTTACCCTGATGAACCCATCACTCTGGAACGGTAAATCTGGACTCATCAGACCACATGACCTTCTTCCATTGCTCCAGAGTCTAATCTTTATGCTCCCAAACAAACTGAAGCCTTTTTTTTTCCAGTTAGCCTCAGTGATTAGTGGTTTTCTTCAGGCTACAGCTGTTCAGTCCCAATCCTTGGAGTTCCTTCACATTGTGCATGTGGAAATGCTCTTACTTTCCCTATTAAACACAGCCCTGAGTGCTACTGTTGCTTTTCTTCCATTTGATTTCACCAAAAGTTTAAGTGATCGAGGATCATGATTGTTCAGGATTTTTTCCGGCCACATTTCTTCCTCGAAGACGATGGGTCCCAACTATCCTGCCAGTTTTTAAAAAGATCTGGACAGTTCTTAACCCAATTTTAGTAGTTTCTGCAATCTCCTTAGATGTTTTCTCTACTTGATGCCAATGATTTGACCCTTCTCAAACAGACCGACATCTTTTCCATGACCACGCCATGAGTCTTTCCACATGGTTGTTAAAGAAATGAGAAGCAACTCATTGCTTGTCCGTTCCCTCTACAATAAAATGGACGAGATAGCGCTGCTGATGAGAAGGAACAGCGATTTTTCCTCCTCCTGTGTGCTGTGCTTCACGGAGACATGGCTCAAGGAGCAGACCCCGGACTCCGCACTCCATCTCGAGGGTTTCCAGCTCCTCCGCACTGACAGACAGCGGGAACTTTCCGGAGGAAAGAAGAAAGGCGGAGGAGTCTGTTTCTTTATCAACAACGCCTGGTGCTCCGACGTGACAGTGATCTCCCAGCACTGCTCTCCTTCTCTGGAATATCTCTTCATAAACTGCAAACCGTTCTACTCTCCACGTGAGTTTACTTCATTTATTCTGGCTGCTGTTTACATCCCACCGTGCGCGGACGTGCACGAGGCTGAGCGCGCACTTGCGGACCAGATTACGAGTGTAGAGTGGACTTTTCCGGACTCCCTTGTTATCATCCTTGGAGATTTTAACAAAGCAAACCTCAGGCATGAACTACCTAAATATAAACAGTTTATTAAATGCCCGACAAGAGAAGGAAACACGCTGGATCACTGTTACACCACAGTGAGCGGTGCTTATCGTGCTGTGCCTCGTGCTGCCCTGAGTCTTTCAGATCATGAGATGATTCACCTCATACCTGCATACAGACAGAGACTGAAGCTCTCAAAACCTGTGGTGAGGACATCCAAAAAGTGGACCAGTGAAGCTGTGGAGGAGCTATGCACGTGTTTGGACACCACAGACTGGGACCTGTTCAGGGCTTCTACAGACAGTCTAGACAAATACACAAACACTGTGACGTCATATATACATTTCTGTGAGGACAGCATCATCCCATCACGCTCCAGAGTCATTTTCAATAATGATAAACCTTGGTTCACATCCAAACTAAGACAGCTTCGTCAGCAGAAGGAGGCTGCTTTCAGAGAGGGGGACAGAGACAACTATAGACGTGCGAAGTATGGATTTAGCAGGGAGGCGTCGAAGGCTAAATCCAGGTACAACGCACGGCTGCAACAACAGTTCTCTGCAAACGACTCTGCCTCTGTCTGGAGGGGGCTGAAAGAGATAACTAACTACAAGCCCAGAGCACATCATTCTACAGACAATCTCAAACTGGCAAACGATCTGAACGACTTCTATTCACGCTTTGAAGTCATGGACTCACATTCCTCCATCCTCCACACCAACCCCAGCCCAACTGGTTTAACCACTTGGGACTGCCCCCGACAACCCCCTGCTATCTCTGTACAAGAGGATGAAGTAAGGAGGCTTTTTAAAAGGCTGAATACACATAAGGCTGCAGGCCCAGACCTTGTGTCACCCTCCACGCTGAGACATTGTGCTGGAGAGTTGGCTTCGGTCTTCACAGGGATCTTCAACTCTTCTCTGGAGTCATGCCACGTCCCAGCCTGTTTCAAGTCCTCCATCATCGTCCCTGTCCCCAAGAAGTCACGTGTCATAGGACCAAATGACTACAGACCTGTAGCTCTCACGTCTGTAGTCATGAAAACCTTAAACGCTTGGTTTCATCTCACCTCAAGTCCATCACCAGCCCCCTCCTGGACCCCCTGCAGTTTGCCTACAGGGCCAACAGGTCTGTAGATGACACAATAAACCTGGCTCTTCACTTCATCCTGCAGCACCTGGACTCCCCAGGAACCTACGCCAGTATCCTGTTCGTGGACTTCAGCTCTGCATTTAGCACCATCCTCCCTGCTCTGCTCCAAGACAAGCTCTCCCTGCTCCATGTACCTGACTCCACCTGCAGGTGGATCACAGACTTCCTGACAGACCGGAGTCAGTGCGTGCGGCTGGCGAGAGCTGTCTCGGACACTCGGACTGTAAGCACAGGATCTCCACAGGGCTGTGTGCTATCCCCCCTGCTTTTCTCCCTGTACACCAACTGCTGCACCTCCAGCCATGACTCTGTGAAACTTATTAAGTTTGCAGATGACACCACCCTCATCGGGCTCATCTCGGACGGTGAGAAGTCTGCATACAGGAGGGACGTGGACCGGCTGGTGACCTGGTGCAGCAGCAACAACCTGGAACTCAATGCCCAGAAGACAGTGGAGATGATTGTGGATTTCAGGAAAGCCACAGCCCCTCTGCCCCTCCTCACCTGTAATGATACCCCCATCACCACTGCAAACTCTTATCTGTTCCTCGGCACCACCATCACCCAGGACCTCAAGTGGGAGCTGACCATCAGCTCCCTCATCAAGAAGGCCCAGCAGAGACTGTACTACCTGCAACAGCTGAAGAAGGCCAAGCTGATGGTGCAGTTCTACACGGCCATCATGGAGTCCATCCTCAGCTCCTCCATCACGGTGTGGTACGCCGGGGCCACTGCCAGGGACAGACTCAGACTGCAGCGCGTTGTGCGCTCAGCTGAGAAGGTGATCGGCTGCAGCCTTCCATCCCTCCACGACCTGTACGTCTCCAGGACTGAGAGGCGAGCAGGTCGGATCACAGCTGACCCTGCTCACCCTGCACACGGACTGTTTGAACCACTCCCCTCAGGCAGGAGGCTTCGGTCCATTCGGACCAGAACCTCCCGCCATAAGAACAGTTTCTTCCCCTCTGCTGTTGGACTCCTGAACACTCATAATGCTACCTCATAATGTCTGCTTTGGTCACATTACATCTGTATTATAATTGAATACTCCATCTGTAACGTTCTCTAAGCTTTTTTATTGTTTTCTATTGTATGGGTGTACATATGTTTATGTTATGTTTTTAATTTTACTTTATTTGTAGGTGTACACAGGTCTTATGTCTTATGTAATTTGTGGGTAGTGGCTGGTTTCAAAGGAGCTGTAATATGGCCTCTGAATTTAAAAAAAATCTAAAACGGCAGGGTCTTTGCCCGCGCGACTTAGGGTGCATTCACACCTGATAGTCCAGTAGACTTGGTTTGGTTCGGGACCAATATTCATGACCTTTTGTTACATTTGAGCTGGTACGTTTGCATTCACACTGCACTGTGCAGTCGAACCAACCTGTTCCCCCACTTGCCTGTGGGGGCGCTGCACCAAGAACTACTGAAAGAAACGACACAAAAACCTCTGAAGAAACTTCTTCTTCTTCTGGAAATAAAAACAAAAATGGAGTGGCATCAAGTTTTAGCAGTTTTAGGAGTTATATTTTGTCATTTTTCAAAAATGGACTCAGCATGAGCAGAAGATGAGGCAGAAGACCATGGAGAATATTGTTTTTCACACAAGTCAGCTGACGGCTCCATATAAGGTCAGAGAAATGTGTGTTTGTTTACCCTGCGCTGTACTCCACTTCCTGCTTGTGGAGCGGTGCTCGGTCTGTTTACATTCACACTGTACTCGAACCGCACTGGAGTTCTCTTCTACCGGACCGAGACCTAGGTTTTAGCCTGGGCCAGAGTTCGCCTTTTTGCTCCGTGACAGAGTCCGATGGCGCGTTCACACCTCCCCAAACGAACCGGACTTTCTAGGAAAACGAGCTAGAGTTCAATTAAAGTGGACTAAACAGGGCTGGTGTGAATGCACCCTTAGAGACACAGCTGCAGCCTCGGTCTGCGGTGATGCTTGAGCAGTAGGCGTGTCGGCCCTGCCCTTGTCGGGCTCCGGAGAGACAGTCGAGTCGGCTCTCAAGTCAGATATTCTGGCTTCAATTAAATCAGAAGTCACGGCGATAATTAGGATGGAGAAGAAGGCGGCGATGCCGTCCGATCCGTCCACCCAGACTTGGCTGACCTCTCGGTTCCCCTCAGGCTGTAGGACCTCATGTTACAACATGGACACCTGCGGCTTATAGACAAGTGCTGCCTATATGTGTACAATTATTTATTTGTTCGTTTAGTGGGCGCGGCTTATATTTGGGTGCACTTAATAATCCATAAATTATGGTAATAATTATTTTGGAAAAATATTTGATGAGGAGACATTTTTGATTTGTTGATAAAGTAAAGCAGGAGAGAGGGGGATTTGACCAGTGGCGGCATGGAGCCACAGATGTTTCTTCTCTCGCTGCCTCTCTCTTTTAAACATGTGTCGTTTGTGTTTTCACTGTTTTATAAACAGTTTAAACTTGAACATTGTGGTCCTGAGGAGTTTTTGATGCTTGAAACGGATGGAGAGGGAGATTTTGGAGCATCAAGGCTCCATGGAAATAGTTTGTAGAAACCTACAGTAGTTTGTCTTGAGAAGACGGTTGGAACATACCTGTGAAACTGGTGGCCCACGTGATGTTCAGGTTGAAGTTTTTAGAGGCGTTTATGAACATGTCCAGATCCCGGTTTGGCTTTGATTGGAAACACAGAAAAACACAGAATTATTAGGTACCACAAGAACTAATACTAACTTTTTCTTAAAAACAGTTAAGGAAGCAGAATTTGATGAGAAAATAAAGTTTTTGTTTTTTCAAATGTAGAAATCGTTGAGAGAAAACGATCAAAAAGCTGAGCAGAGATTTGATTGTGTTCAGCTTAACTCAAGAGTCAGAGAGATTTATTTGTCATACACACCACACGTGATACATGAGGTGGGACGAAACTATGTACGCAGAGTCCCAGATACATCCAACAAAAACAAATTGTAAAGAAAAACATTACTAAGATCCAAGTCATGAACTAAGAATATACTAACAAAGTCCATGCTCAATAATCCAGGTATACAATCCAACATTTTTCAGTCAGGTCATCTGGACAGTTTCTTTTTTTGTGCTGAAAGGTTTCGCCTTCGATCCAGAAGGCTTCATCAGTCAAGGAAACACACAACAAAACTGATTCTTCCCCCAACAGCTTACTCCAAGAATATACTACATTCACTAAACTAAGAATACACTAAGCTCTAATAGTGCTAAAACAATGCGCAAAAACAACAGAAGCACAAACATGAGTCTGTGTGAGCAGATGAGGACGAAAGAAGACAGCAACACAAAATAATCAGCAGCATGAGATCAGCAGCATGGATAGTTAGCAGCACATAACAACCAAGTGGCATTACAGTGATTTTTTTTTCACAGTGATTATTTTGGTTAGAGATTCATGAGTCTAACAGCTTCAGGGTAGAAGCTGTTCCTCAGTCTAGTGGTTCTACACTTAATGCTCCTCAACCTCCTTCCTGAGGGGAGTGGGGCAAAAAGTGTGTGTGCTGGGTGAGTGTGGTCCTCCATGATGCAGGTGGTCCTCTTCCTGCATCTGGAGGTGTAGATGTCTGTGATGGTGGGGAGACTGACTCCAACATCTTCTGTGCAGCCTTCACCACTCTCTGCAAAGCTTTTCTTTCTGCAGCTGTGCAGCCTCCATGCCACACATTGATGCTGGAGCACAGGATGCTCTCCACTGCACACCTGTAGAAGGAGGTGAGGACTGAGCTTCCAGACCAGCTCGTCTCAGCCGTCTGAGGAAGTAGAGTCTCTGATGAGCTTTCTTGATCAGGCTGGTGGTGTTGTTGTTCCAGCTGAGGTTGTTGTTCAGGTGTACACCCAAGTACTTGTAGCTGGAGACCACTTCCACTGCAGATCCTCCTATATTCAGGGGGGTGTAGGTGTGTTTGCTCCTTCTGAAGTCCACAACCATCTCCTTCGTCTTTTTCACATTGATGTGAAGGTTGTTCTTTCTGCACCAGCAGATCTGTGGATCTTCACAGATTATGGTCTGTTGGTTAAGAAGTCTAGGACCCACCTGCATAGAGAGGAACTTAGTCCTAGTGTGATTAGTTTGTCCATCAGGGTCTGGGGGATCATGGTGTTGAAGGCAGATGTGAAGGCCACAAAGAGAATACGGACATAGGAGTCCTTCTGCTCCAGGTGGGTGAGAGCAGTGTGGACCACAGAGGAGATGGCATCCTCTGTTGCTTGATTCTCTTGGTATGCATACTGGTGAGGGTCCATGTTGATGGTGGTGTTAGCTTTGATTTGGGTCATGACAAGTTTTTCAAAGCATTTAGCGACTTTTGGGGCAAGGGCTACCAGCCAATAGTCATTCAGGCCAGTCACTGTAGAGCTCTTTGGAACTGGGATAATGGTGGCGGTCTTGAGGCAGGTGGGAACTGTTGCCCGAGTGAGGGAGGAGTTAAATATGTCGGCCAGCTCCTCGCAGAGCTGATCAGCACAGTCTTTCAGTCCTTTTGCCGGGATATTTTCCGGGCCAGTTGCCTTGTGAGGATTGATCCTCCTGAAAGTACTCCTTACTTCTGCTGAGGTCATGCTGAGGAACTCTTTTTCTTGTGATACGGTGAGTCTGGTAATGGGTGGTCTGTTCGGGTCCTCAAAGCGTGCAAAGAATCTGTTGAAAGCATCAAGCAGTGATGGGTCTCTAGGGCATTGTGCACCTCTGCATTTATAATCTGTTATGCACTTAATGCCCTGCCACATGTTCTGTGGGTTTGTTACAAGAAGTGTCCCTGTATCTTCTGTGCATATGTTGCTTTGACCCTTTTAATACCAGTATCCAGTTCTAACATTGTCCTCCTAAGCTCTTGTGAGTTGCCAGACCTGAAGGCAGTGTCCCTGGCTTTCAGCAGGGTGCGTACTTCTGCATTCAGCCAGGGCTTTTGGTTCGGGTAGCTTTTCACATTCCTGAAGGTGGTGATGTCACTAGTGCACTTAGAAATGTAACACAGGACTGAGGATGCATATTATTGCACATATACATATATATGCATATTAGCTGCACATATACTGAAGTAAAAACAAAAAACAATTTGCATAGATTTGGGGCGGCTGTGGCTGAGTGGTTAGAGCAGTCGTCCTCTAATGTGAGAGTTGGGGGTTCGATTCCACAAGCAGCCACATGCTTAATTGTCCCTGGGCAAGACACTGAACCCCTCATAGCCTCTGATGTGTGTCCCGTCAGTGTATGAATGTGATAAAGCTCTGATTAGTCTCTTTAGAATGATTTGTTCAATTAGCTTTGTAGAGATCTAGTATAGAGCTGTATGAATGGGTGAATGAGGACACAGATTGTAGTGTAAAGCGCTTTGAGTATCTTGACAAGATAGAAAGGCGCTATATAAGTACAGTCCATTTATAGATGACTAAAGTTAAATTTGCATCAAATATTTGAACAAGATTCATCAAATGAAGGCATAACACATGCAGTATGTAAAACCAAAGTAAATGATGTAGCCTAATTTTACATAATTACTGATCAATTACTGACATGTTCATAAATGAATGGATCCTTTAACACAAACATGCTTCAGCAAAGGGAGTCTGGGAGAATGATTGTTTTCTAAATTATTTTAATAGATGTACATCATGTCACTTTTTTTATACTTATGTGTACAACAGTAAACATATCAGTAGAAGTGGAGAACGTAGGTGTCTTGCTCAAAGACACTTTGGCATGCTGCAGTGGGGACAGGTTCAAACAGCTGACCCTCAGAATAGAAGATAACCTCCTACCACTGGGCAAATGCCACACCCAAAAAATGACAAATGAAAGTATTATAATCAAAAAAACAAACAGCCATATTTATCCTCTGGCAAACGCTTACCTCATCAGGAGTGGCCACAAAGTTAATGGCAGTGTAGTAGCGGTCGTCCTCCTGCGACAGGCTGAAGGTGAACTGGTAGTCAATGAGGAGCGTGTCTGAAGCAGTACGTCGCAGGTGCAGGTATGAAGTAGTGCAATGGGATAAGAGGAAAAAAAGAATATGTTTAAAGACAGAATGCCAGGCAGGAAATATTCTACGTTACTAGTGAAATTAGAACTGTTTGATCGACTGAATAATTTCTTGTGTGTTCTATACAAACATTTTAAAATCTTCACTGCAGTAAAACAAGATTTTCAAACAGGGGACAGTATCGTGTCTTTTTCTGTTGTACAGTAGTCCCTCGTGTATTGCAGGGGATCTGTACCCTGAAGACCCACGATAAGTGAAAAACTGCGAAGTAGGAATAGCAGTACAAGTAGTAAATAGTGTGTGTGTGTGTATATATATATATA